GGCTTGCCGCGGCGCGATGGAGGCTGGTTCCGCGGCGTGAAGCTTGTCTCGCGGTACGACGGGGTCTGGTTCCGCAGGGTGAAGATTGTGACGCAGCGTGGCAGGAGAAAAACTGGACAAACGCTTCACGGCGAGGCAACGGTTGAGCGGCGCGGGATGAAGCCTCCTCACGGCGTGGCAGGCGAAGCTTGCTGTTCGTGGAGGTCTGGTAACACCGTGAAGATGGCCTGCTAGCTTCGTGAAGGTGACGTCGTGAAGAGGAAGGTGCTGTCGTGAAGGTGCGGGGCTGGAGCAGGTAGCGCTCGGTAATCTGGAGTATCTTGTACGCCGTGATGCTGGTAATGTGAAGTGCTGCGGCTTGAGTAAAAGAAGCTTGCCATGAGGGAGAGCTGCTTGGGCATGTTCGACTCCGTATCTCGGACCCGTTTGAACTCATCCGACTTCACAACTGAGTTTCGATCTTTCCTGCTTGTTGCCAACGCATTGTTCTACGGAGCTATGCTCGCGAAATATTTTTACCCTTTTTTATTGAAGTCGCCCGAGGTACCCAACCTGCACATCACTAGACGAAAACAAAAACGGAGAAAACGAAGAAAATAACGAAAGAAAACACAAAGACTCTAAAATAGAAGAAAACACACGGCACGAAACAAAACGGACCGAAACTGAAAGAAAAAACATAAAATGGGGGAAAAAGAAAAGAAAATAATCACGAAAAACGTGACAAAAATGGAACGAACAATTATCTTTATCCTCGTTACTTCGTTTTTGCCCATTTTTAATTGCTTATAGTTTTTCAAAGTGAATTTAGTATTTTTCTTGTTGAATAAATGAAAGTTCGATTCCCAATGCTTGTCGATGTGTGTTATAGATTAGTTTCGTGTTATATTATTTAAAGATTGTGACTTTGTTTAAGGCGTAGTCATTTAGTTTAGAAAACTCGAGATCACTAGGCTATTATGATTTCTCTTGGTTCTTTGCGTTTATTCGAGTGTTAGAGACTCCGATCAACCTAATCTCTCTCTTTTCACGTAAAGTTCTCATCTTTATTACATGCTTTCAATTGTCTTCTATTTTCAATTCTAATTAGTGTTTAATCATCCTCAAACTCATTGATTAGAATAATATTTAGTCTTTTGTTTTCTCGTTTTGTGTGTTTTTAACAATTGATTAGCGAACAAAACTCCGAATAGCTTTTCTTAGAGAACGACCCGAGTGAGAGTAGCTCGCTTACCATCTACCCCGCAAATTACTACTCCAAACTAAGCCTAAAAAATAAGAGTGAAATTAGTCATACAGGACGCCAAGGATAAGCGAGTGGAACTATTGCTTGTTTGATGCTTTCCAGTGGTAGTTGCGTCAAGCAGCCGCTTACCTGACCATGAGTTACGAGTGTAATAGGATACTAACTAGATTAAATAACATAGTAAAAAACATAAATTAAAAAAAAAGTATAAATTTATTATTTGATGTCAGTATAGACTCTTTTTTTTTTCGGTACATTAAGGAAGCATAGCCTAAGAAAAGAAAAGGATCAAATAACTACGTTCCGTGGGTAGGAAACACCGGTGATATCGTGTTCCAGCCACGGTTTAACGTCGCCCGGAGGGGTGCGCCAGGGGTACCCGATTTATTAACAATAAAAAGATAGTTTCAATGTCACTAATTGTCATAGAAACAAAAATTCGAATATTCTCATTCCAATTGCCACTACTGAATTTTTTTTTATTTATCTCAATGAACATTAGCATCCTCTATATCTCAATCCACGCATGAAGAATTCAAATAAAAAAATAAAAAAAAAAAACCCTAAACTAAGTCAGTCATGCATGGCAGGGCCAGGCCGCCAGGGGGTTGGTCCCCGAACTCCTCCACCGCCTGGTCGAGGATCGCGGCGAAGATCGGGAGGTTGAGGAGCCGGGTGGAGAAAACGAACCGGACGCGCTCCGTGCCATCATAGACTGCGATGGATTCGGTTCGGGCGCGCGAACAACAGCTCGTCGTGATCGGGCCGACTGCGACGGATGAGGCTCATGTTTCTCCATCGTCGGACGACACTCTCTCTTGCTTTTTTCTTTGATTTCATTAATTCAAATTGATCCTTGTATATATATATTAGTGTGTTGTTTAGTTCGTTTGGAATGTGATTACATCGAAGTTAAAGATAAAATATAATTAAGATAAAATTTAATGCATACAAAAAGATCTACTTGTAATTTTTTTTTCTTTAGCTGTTTGAACTTAAATGTTTTCAAAACTTTTCACAATCAATTTAGGCAGGAATTTTTTAAATTTTTAAAAAAAGATTGTCAAGTTTATATTTCAAGTAAATCCCTATTGTTTTTTATATTAACATATTAACAGACACTTCCCTCATTATTAAATGCCATTTGATTGAGATATTATTTTTTTAACTAATCATAATTTTTAATGACGTTTGAGGATTAATTTGACCAAAATTTAGTTGTTCCCATTTATTTGAGGAACCAAATAATAATAATAATAATAATAATAATAATAATAATAATAATAATAATAATAATAAAAGTAGTAATAATATTAATAATAATAAAATAATAATAATAATAATTTTTTTTCTTAATTTGAACAAACACTCAAAATGACAATCAATAAAAGGGGGTGATATTTAAAAGTAATTTGATAGCGATGGGGAAAAAAAAAACCATGAGCGCGGCCAATAATGATAATAAATTGTTTTTTTTTTCTTTTTTTTGAACAAACACTCGAAATAACACTCATTAAAAGTGTG